GCTGATCTTCCTCACAAAAAAAAATAATAAAAAAAAAAGAAATGCCTGATTCTTAAACCTAAATGGGATACAGATGTCTGGGATGCAGACGACTCTCGTCACCTGCAATCTCACTCCTTTCATTCAAGGATCCATTCAACAGTCAATTATTAAACATCTGCCATGTGCTTCGCCCAGTCTTGACATTCCTTAGTTTGCATACGTGCCTGAGCATTCTAATCCCACACTTAAATCTACACTTTTCTTGTGCTTAAAAGAAAACCAAGGGCTGGCCCGGTGGCACAGTGGTTAGGTTTGGATGGTCTGCTTTGGCGGCCCGGAGTTCACAGGTTCAGATCCCAGGCACAGACCTACACGTTGCTCATCAAGCCATGCTGTGGCAGCATCCCATATATAACAAAAGGAAGATGGGCACAGATGTTAACTCAGGGCCAATCTTCCTTAGCAAAAAGAGGAAGATTGGCAAAGGATGTTAGCTCAGGGCCAATTTTCCTCAAAAAAAAAAAAAAAAAGAAAGAGAAAAAGAAAACCAAAATGGAAGCCACCACTTAACAGCAGCTCGTGCACTGCAAACATTTCCGTGCGTGTTTTTCTCTTCCAGGGTTGCACAGACTTCAAAGGCAGTAGGTTTATTTTTATTCCCTCAAACCTCGCACTATTTATCAGCCCGTGTCACACTAGTGGCCTGACAGAGCTACTCCGACTGGTAAAGATGACAGGGTGTGCCTATCTCCAGGGCAAGGGGGCCCTGGAGGGACAGGAGTGAGAGAGGAAGCGAGTGTTATTAGGGACTTGCCTATTCCCAGTTCTCCTGCTGTGTGCACTGCTGAGCTCCAGAGCAAACACAACGCTGCTCTCCACCTCTGCCCACACCCTGTGATTTAACCAAGGTGAGGGGATTGGTTTGCCTTCCTCCTCCTAATTATCCCCTTGGTGAGAAAATGAGAAGAAAGTGTATGCTGATCACAGAGTCCTTCCCTCCACAATTATGCTGGGAATCAGGATTGCCCTGCAGGGCTGCCAAATCCCTGCAGAGCTCCTGCCCCAGATGACAGGGAGGAGGCTGTGGCTTGCTGTGGCCTAGCACAGAGCAATGGGGCCAAGGTAAACAGGCTGGGCCTGGGCCACCATAATCCTCTCTACACAGGAGATGAATCACAGCCCTTCTGCCCCAGCCGCATCCTCACACACAGCCAGGGAGAGCTCCGGCCAGCTGGGCTGGGCTGAGGGAGCTCCTGACGGAGGCCCCAATTCTGCAGACCCTCTCCATCCCTACTTCCCTCCACAGTGCTAAAAAGCAGAGGGGGCAGATAAATGACAAAAGTCTCCCCAATTCAGTTCCTCCCAAGGACCCTCAAGCCCTTGCCACAGAAAGCAATCATACTGAACTTCCCCCAGCGCCTCTGCATTTACCTATGGCTTGCTGCTGAGAACTGCAAAGCCCTTCTCGGATCCCATCCCACCACGCGTATAGTTTTCAGTCCTCTTTGGGGCAATAAAGGAGTAGGCAGTAATTAGCCTTATTTCCCATATCAAAGGGAAATGAGGCACAGAGTCATAAATTAGGAATTTTTTTTATTCCTACAGCACTTTGCACTGTACGAAGCACCTTCACACACACGCTGTCACCCTGCCTGGGCAGCAATGTTCAGCCCTATTTCACAGATGAGAAAGGGAAGCTCTGGGAGATCAGGTGGCCGGAGGAGACAGAGACAGATGAGGATCTGCTCCATAGCCTCACAGGGATTCAGTTTACCCTGACTGAACCATCATCCAGCCTCGAAGTAGGGCTCTCCCGGAGGCTGGCCACTGCCACAGGCCTGGTGCCAGGCAGAGGACAGGTAGTCACCTGGCTGGGGGGCCTTCCAGTCTATACAGATTTCTTAGAAGCTCTCAATAGCTCAACTGAAAGCATTTATAACCCCCCCCACTGCTAGGGTAGATGGATACAAGCCAGAGGTTCAGAAACACTTGGTTATTCTCCTAAATCTTATTTTTCCTTACCCTCCTTCTATCTTGGAATCCAGGATGAGTTACAGGCTTTTCAAAGCCAGAACTTCACCCTGACTGTACAAGTCAGGATGATCAAGGAAAGCCTCATGCAGTTCCCACAGCTGGGGCTGCATCCAGACCCTTTCTACACAGCCTGGGGACCTGCTCTAGGAGCCACTCCCCTCACTGCCTCTCATTTTGCCAGGACCCTGGAGGCACACCACTTGCCACCTCTGGGCCTGGAAGAGGGGTGGAGGTGAGATGCAGTTATCTGTAAGCTCTCACATCTGTAAAGGAAACATGAGCTTTATCCTCAAGCTCTGATTGCTACACATCTTATTTAAAATCCCTTTGATCCTATTTATGGTAAAAATAACCCCCAAGGCAATATGTGTACATATATTTATATGTATCCTCAATACCTATCTGTACACAAAGTCTGGAAGGTAACACAGTAAACTGATCACCAGGATGACTCAGGGGCACCATCAGGTTTGGGAACCACTGGAAAAGGCTTTGGAACTTTGATTGAAACCCAGGTTCATCCATTTCTTAGTGGTGTTCTCTCAGACAAGTTTCTTAACCTTCCACAGACTCAGGGTCAATTAGGAAACGGGGGGAATGACACTTGCCTTGCAGGATTGTCGTAAAGGCCAGAGATAATGCACATCATATGCTGGCACACAGCACACAGGCAGTAAATGCTGGCTGTGATGATTCCTACTTCTGCAAAAGAGGATGGTTGCCAAAAGGCCATACCTGTAGCCTCCCTGTAGCCATAGAAACTGCCTCCTGCTGAAGGAGAGAACTAAGGGCATCACTCATCATTATCTAGTCCTGGTTTTGCATTTGAGTCTCTGGAGTGACCCCAGCCTAGGGGCCATTTAGTTCCTGGTGGGGACTAAAGTATTCTCCATTTGTTTCACCACCACCCCTCACCCCAAATCCATTCTCCACCTGCTCTGTGGCTTGGTGGCTGACCTCTCTGGGCTGCGCGACTAGGGCTCTGTGCCCTGTGGCCTCCGGTTGGGATCTGCCGATGGGAAGTGCCAGCACAAGATCCGGGTATTTATTCCTCCTCTCTCCCCACTTTGCCAAATCTCTGGTGGTGGCTCTGTCCTTTCTACAGCCGCAGCACCTGTGGGGCAGCCCGTCCTCCATGATTCTAGCTCTTGCTGCCTCTGTCAGCAGGCCCTTCAGATCAACCCTTTGGAGGGTACCATCTGCTTCCTTTCAGGACCCTGACCAAAACAACAGGGGAAGATGCTTTCTCAATGAGAATTGTAACACTCTTAGAAAACGGAGATACTAAAAATAATTATAAGCTTTGGAGACAGATTAATAATATCCAGTTCAGGCTAGGACTCTGATTTTCATCATTTGAACCTCCAGGAATTAAAGCAATTTTCACCTAAGCAGAGAGGCCACTGAAAAAACAGCCTAAGCCTAAGATCCTGCCTTTTCCTACAGCGAGGAGGAATAAGCAAGCAATAAGAAGCTCTCTAAAGCAATAAGAACCCTGGGCAGGAGAGGCAAGAAATTGCATCCTCGATGATCACTTATTCTGTGTCAGGCATTGTATTTGTTGTTCTCCATAAATTGTCTCACTTGGAGATGGTATCAACTTGGTGAGGTAAGTAATATCATTATCCTCATTTTGCAGATGAGGAAACTGAATCATAAAGATATTAAGGATCTTGCCCAAGGTCACACAGCTGGTAAATGGCAGAACGAGGATTTGAACCTGAGCAGTCTGACCCCAGAGTCTGTGTGCTCTCAACCAATACATTATCTGCGTCCTTCACGGGAAGGCTTGGAAAGGAGGTTGAGAGCAAGGACAGGTGACAGGAAGGCAAGCACAGCCTCTCTTCCTAACCGCCTCAGCTTCTGATGGTGCCCTCCCATCCATGAAATGCTCCCTACGGAGCAGATGGGGTTGTGGGAGCATATTTCAGCCACTGAACAGGATCATCAGCCACAGGCATCAACCAGAATTGAGAGTGTCTGTGAAAACAAAATGCTATAAACAACTGTGGCTTGCGAAGAAAGAGATTGTGATAAACTAGGATTCTTTGCAATATTACCAAATACCAAACCAAATCCTGTCTGAACCCTTTAGTCTGCAAGAGGGATCTCTCTTTCTACTTGTAGAACCTCCCAACAGCACACAGCATGAGGGCAAATGTTACCCAAATTTGAAAAATGATCCAGAGACAAATTCCTAAACATTTTTGAGGAGGAAAAACAAATATTGTTGGACACACTGGGTAATTTCATCCAAAGAGAAACTAGCAGTAACTCCATCTCTTTCAAAGGAAAACTATCTCTTGGACCAAATAATCAAAACACCAAGAACACACATCTTTCAATGCCATCCTAAATTTAACCCATGATACAGCGCTTGTTGACAGGCCCATATTCCAATGGCAAAGCCAGCTAGCATTCCATCCTACACCTAAGAGAAATTTAATAAATGAGACCACAGGATATTAAAGACCAATGTATAGCTCAATTCAGGCACAGGAGAAAAAACATTAACTGCAAAGTGATTTGTAGTCTGGATGCAGTGGCTGAGTCCTGATTCTCATTGCACTTCACGTAACATTTACTTTTTTTCTGCTTAAATCTACCTCCCTCTTGCTGAAGAGGGAAGATTGCGTGGGCGGTAGGACGAAAGATTCAGCCTTGTGCACATTGCATACATTTCAGTTATCCAAAGAGAAAATAAATTGACAGGGAACAGTACTTGCACGGACCAGTAAGAAAATAACACATTAAGATATACTGTCAAATGGTTTCCCAATATTAATAATCTGCCAACCAACCAGCCAATCTGTGTACATATTTTTTCCCTGTGCAATTTTGAACCATTCTGGATTCTAGCTTTTTGACAGGATGACTATACCTGAACTCATTCTTTAAACAAAGCTGGCAGCAGAGATTTTAAGAATGGTAACAGGTCACCAAAAGTGATTTGCAAAGCCCTCTGGCTTGGTGCTCCATCTTACCAGTCGAGTCAGCCCCAGAAGCCCTGCCACTCATCTGCTCCTCAGCATTGATGAGCTGCAGGTCTGTGTATGAGGGGCCAAAACTGGGACTACTGGTGTCTTCAGAATGTGTGGTCCAGCTGCTCTCAGAGGTCAGAGGGCACCTCCCCAAGGAGTTGAAGGAAGGGCACGTCCAGCAGGGCAGGGTCAACGGTAGGGCTGGGGACAGACCAAAAAGCAAAAGCATGCAATATCAATAGCTGTACTTTGTTTATCTTTAGTGTTTGTCTTACTTTGATGTTGCTCAGATCCTATGCAATCTCAACAGCTGTACGAGTCAAGAAGTATAGAAAGTATCACTCATGATACAGTCACAGGAAACTAATTGACAGAGACCCCACGGTGAGTCAGTATTGAAACCAGTACTACAACTAAGGTCTTTGACCCTCAAATCAAAGAAAATCTCACTAAAGACTATGAGTGATTTTAGGCTCTACTTTTATTTCTAAACTTACATTTCAGTTTCATCCTTACCCTTAGATTTCCTCCCTTTTTAGTGAACGCAAACCATATCAAGAAAATTCACCAGTTTACAAAGTTGGAGCTAGATTGGGTTAAGGGATAAGAGAAGATACGTGAATATATATGTATTTGCAGATGAATTTGATATGCCTCTGCTTGCTTTGAGCCTGACTGTAACTGAAGATTCTGCAGACCTTCATATATACAAATTGAGATTGACTGGGGTTGCTGATCTGCGACACAGCAGATCTTTAAGGGGGGAATGCACAGGGCATGGCATTATCTTCTTAACCCTGAGCACCAAATTCAGCCTTTCAAAACCACCGGAAAGTTTCTTTTTTAAAAATCAAATTATGTTCCTAATTTGTCTTTAGTTAATTGCCTACGACATGGTTTCTCCATGGTGTTGCATAAGAATCGTATTGCAAATTTGCTGACAAGTACTGAAAACAAGTGCTGAAAAGAGTGTGGACAGAGAAGGAAGAATAAAAAAAGAAAGAAACTAGCAATTATTGAGTACCCATGAAATGTCAGACACTTTTACAAATGTTATCTCATTTCACCCATCAATCCTGAGATAAGCAGTGGTCTTATTTTACACAAGGGGAAAGAGACTCAGAGAGGTTAAGTAGCTTGTCCAAGAAGATCGAGTCAGTTCTCCAGGCTGGAGAATCAAAATTATAGAGCTGGGTTAAGAAATAGGAAGGGAAAATTGAGATTTAAGAGAGAAAAAAGAATAAACAGCAATATTTGTGACATGGTATAAATACGAAAACTACCGAAAATTTTCATTACACATTCCCTTAGGCATCTATAAGACATCTAGGTCTTTTCTCCTTCTGGAGTGCTCATGGCTCACACCCCCTTTTCTTTAAAAATGTCACCTTCTCGATAAGGTATTCCTGAGCTGTTCCCTCCAAAGATGCAAAGCACCTTCTCTGCTTTATTTCTCCTTTGCATTATCACTGTCTAATGTACTACATATCCAGTGTCTTCCCCACTAGAATTCAAGCTCCTTGGGGGACAGGGGTTTTGGTCCATTTTATTCATTTCTGTACCCCCATTCCTAGAATAGTGCCTGGTGCAAGTGAGCACTCAATAAATATTTCTTGGTTATGTCAACAGAAGCACCACAAATCATTCCAAAACAGTCTATATTAAATATAGACTGTTAAACCAAACTTGTACTTATAAAACTCCCACACAAACATAAAAGAAATCAAAACACTAAAAAAGAAGAAAAAATAAAATAAACAACCAAAAAATCAAAAGCAAAGCTGAACTTGTAAAAGCTTATTATAGGACTGCCATTTCCTACGGTATAGTGGATTAGAAACTTTGAACTACTGTGGAAATAAAATTAAAATATTAGGTAAAATGTAATAATATCATTTAAAATATATTACAGGGGGAGCAAGAAAGTAAAGAATTATCAGAGGCCAAGTGAAAGCTGGAACCCAGAAACGGTAAGCAGAGCACACAACCCGATTTTCACACCCTGAGGATTTTGAACAAACCAGGAAGTCTCTTTAGTTTGTTTTTTAAATCTCTTGTGAGGAAGGCAAAGGGGAGAAAACCTAGGGCCAACCCCAGATGGGAAATCTAACAGAAGATCTGATGCATAAAGCTAAAGTTCCCAAAGGGCTCAGTTAAGGCATAAATTAGGAATAACTCGTACCCCCAAGCTAAGGATAGGAAAGAAAATTGTCTGCCTTAAGCCTGGGTGCAGGGTAGGGAAAACAAAAATCTCCTGAGAAGTCATAAGCACAAGCTGTCCCACATAGGGGTTTGCAGCTAAAACTACTTGTGTGGTCTGAAAAAATTCAAGTAGGAGAACTCAGTTGAAGTATTTCCAGGTTGGTAGTAGCCTCTGGCACCTGGGTAAAGCAAATAGTAATCCTTTCTGGAGAAAGAGGCCTTAAAACCAGTCTTCCCAGACAGAATGTTCCTCAGTTGATGTGCACATGGTATTAAAAAAAAAAAATCATGAATGAATAAATCATGAAATACATAAGAAATCAAGTTACCATGAACAAGAGCCAGAGAGCCAGCAAAATGCGTGTGGTAATGGGGCAGGGTGGGGAGAAGCAGACAGAATCAGATCAGCAAAGAATTCAGACTCTAGAATTACTAAGCAGAAAATACAAATATGTTTAAGGAAATAATAAGAAAAGAAATTGAAAATACGAGAAAGAAGCATGTATGTAGAAATGAAAAAGAACTAAATGAACTTGTGTAGAAGAAAAAATACTACAAATACAAAATTAATTGGATAGCATAGAGAGACAAAGGGATGAAATATGAAAATGAGATTAAAACACGTGGAGGACAGAGAGAGAAGGTCTTGTAGATACCTAATCTGAGTTCCTAAAGAGAAGAGAGAGAGAATGAGAGGCAAAATGTGAAAAAATGCTGACTGAGAATTTCCCAGAATTTATGAAAAATTTTATCTGTCAGATTAGAAATCCCAAGGTATCTCAAGTAGGGCAACCAAAAATAACTCCACAAGTAGCCACCAAAACTATGTAAGGCCAAAGACAAACAGAAGATCTTAAAAGCCACCAAAGAGAAAATAAGATTACTTCTAAAGGAAGGATGATTAGACTGCCTACTACCTTCTCAACAGCAAGAGAAACCAGTGCATACTTCAATGTGCCGACAGAAAACAACTATCAGGGGCCAGCCTGGTGGCGCAAGCAGTTAAGTGCACGTGCTCCACTGCAGCAGCCCAGGGTTCACCGGTTCAGATCCCGGGCGCGCACTGACGCACTGCTTGTCGAGCCATGCTGTGGCGGCGTCCCATATAAAGTAGAGAAAGATGGGCACGCATGTTAGCTCAGGGCCAATCTTCCTCAGCAAAAAGAGGAGGATTGGCATCAGATGTTAGCTCAGGGCTGATCTTCCTCTCAAAATAAAAAAAGAAAATAACTATCAAATAGGACTGTTTACTCAGTGAAGAGATCTTCAAAGAACAAGACTAAATTAAAGACAATTTAGACAAAGAAAAACTACAACTAATCTAAAAGGAAAGAAAAGTGAGAAAAGAAAGATAAGATGATAGAAATAAAACTTTATCAGTACTTAATAATAAACAGAAATGGACTAAATGTTCCAGGTAAGAGAAAAAGACTGTCAAGCTGAATAAACAAATGAAATCCAATATGCTGTTTACAAAGGACACATTTAAAATATAAGGATTCATCAATCATGAAAGTAAAGGGATAGGAAAGCCATACAAGACAAAATAGTAATGAAAAGGAACCTGATCTATGATAGACTGTAGATAGACTTTGAAGTAAAAAGCATTACTAGAGAGAGAACATTACAACTAAATGATAAAAATTTTAATTCAACAGAAATATAAAACAATAATTCTAAATGCATACATATTTAATAACATAGACTCAAAATTATTAATGCAAAAATTAACAGAACTACAGAAACTAAGAAATGTCAATTATCATAAAGGGAGATTTTAAAATATACCTCTGTCACTAATTCACAGATCAAGCAGGCAAAAAAATACGCAAGGAAACAGAAAATATATCAACAACAAAGTGAACAAGCTGATCTAATGGTCACACATAGAACACTGCACTCAACAGGTGAAGAATCCACATTCTTCATAACCACACCTAGAACTTGCATGACAAATGACCACATGCTATGACGTGAAGCAAGTTTTAACAAATTTCCAAAAGTTGGTATCAAACAGACCAGGAACACTGATCACAATAAAATTAAATATATAGTTATCTAAACCAGTTACCTAGATAACTAGTATCCATTTATCTAAACTAAATATAAGACAATTTGAAAAATTTAAAAATTAACACATACTTCTAAATGATTTATTGGTCAAAGAAGAAATCTTAAAGCATATTAGAAAATAATCAGAACCAAACAATAATGAAAATATTGTATATGAAAACTTTAAGAATGCATATAAGCAGTACTGTCAGGGAAAGTTGTATTTTATACAACTAAACATACAACTAACATTCTAAAGAATGTTAGAAGGAAATAATAAACATAAAAGCACAAATTATTGAAAATTTTTAAAATATACATAGGTAAAAGATTCTTTGAGAAGACTAATAGAATTGAAAAACTGCCAAGAAAAAAAGAGAGCACAAATAAATAACATTAAGAATGAAAAAGGGTACACAATTACAAATGCTACATATATTAAGGAGGCAATGAGGGGAAATAATGAATGTCTTTACACCAATATGTTTGAAAATATAGATAAAACAGTAGAAGTCCTAGGAAAATATAACTTTTTAAAACTGATTCAAAAAGCAAGTTAAAAATCTGACTCATCCAATAACCATGAATAAAGCGAATCAGTCCTTAAAACTCTTCCCCCAAGGAAAATGTCAGGCCAGGTGGTTTTACTGTAAAGTTCTACTAAACTTTAAAGGAAAAAAATATTTCAATCTTCCACTAACTGTTCTAGAGTACAGAAAAAGAAAGACCACTGACCAACTCATTCTATGAGATTAACATTTCCTGACAGCAAAACCTGACAAAGTGCACCTCATTTATACTTATATTCTCAAAAATGAGAATTACAGATCTCCACCATAGACATAGATATAAGATCTCAAACAAATTATTATCAAAGAGAATCTAGTGGTTTTTGAAAAGGATAATTAAATCATGACTAAATTGGGTTTATCTAACGAACGCAAGGT